GCACGTTGTACACTGAGATGGACATGTAATAAATTATTTGTAAATTAACAAAATGGTACAAAAAATATTTGTTGAAATTTGTTTCATTCACACCTAAAGATGAATGAAAAAAATTGTTTAAAAAATCATGGTTGAAGATTTCATAATTCATGCATCAGAGGGTTAAAAGTGTTTTTTTTTATATTCCACACCTTTAATCTCTCTTCTTTATTTGTGCTACCAATGGTTGTGTGTTTTGCATGTTAATCAACATCAGAATTTCCCCTCTGGGGATTAAAAGAGAATTTCTAGGTCTGTGTAAGATTTGTTTCTGCAAAAATTATGAACATATATCTGTTGTAGATGGGTTGGTTTTGACTGAAGGTAACAGCGTTTTGCAGTCAAATCCACATTATTTCAGCAGAAATCTAAATGTTCAACTGAAAATATTTCACCTTGAACAAGACACATAGCTAGTTGCGTTGCCAATCTGGGCTTTTTAGTGAAGCTCCAACATCTCATCGTTCAGCAGCTAAATGCATCATACTGGGATTGCTGAGGACCAAGAATAGCTGACCTTTTTCTTCATCACATCCACAAGGGCTGAATAACACACGCCTTCACACTACTCTCAAATGCAGCATTAGTCAGATTACCTCCATTCCCTTTTTATAATTTCTCATCATCTCTTCTTCTGCCACAGAGCAGGTCGAGAGAGAGAGAGGTGAAGGTCAAACAGCAACTATTTGTAATTTCCTCAAAGCTTTTTCCTTTCTTCTTATCAGTTTTTATTTTCCCCTCTGACAAAATCTTCCTCTTTTTCTCTGACTTTTGCCTTCTCATCATCACACTCCCTATTCTCGTTTCCAATTCCATTGGATATGATCACTGACACGTGCACCCTGGTGTTGTGCACACAAGCTGAAGCTCCCGAGCTCCTCTGTGCCTCAGGTGATCCCATCACGAACACGCCCACGCAGGCATCACATCAGTCTGGGTTTCAGGTTCACACTGTGAAATGCACCAGGACACATCAACATACAGTACACGAGTCGACCAGCTGAATTTGATATGGTTCTGTACACCAGATGAGTCTGAGGACTGGTTCCAGATAATAAATAATGTACCATCTACCTGTATTAAAGTGAACTGATGCCCGCTTGTTGAAGTAAATGTTTTAATGGCTGTGAGTGACAGATCTAGGACACAGACTCCCTGATAGCCTGACATTATTTTCCTGCTGGTGTCTAAAGTCCAGCTGAATCTCTTTTCACAGGATTTGAATCATCTTCATCTGATTTAGTCAGAAGCTAAAATGATCTCTAAACCAACCCTGTGAAAACCTCTCTTCCATCCATCATTTTGCTTTCCGCTGAACCTGCCGGCCCCTGTTTCTCTTTCTCTTATATGAATATTTAACTCTTGCCCCATGTGTGGCCCCCGGCTTTGACTCTTTGCCTCTTGCTTATGAGCTGTCCAGGACAGTAAGGGGGGCAGCCAGAAATACTTTCCCCAACACTGGAGCCGTGACATCAGGAGCTCTGCCAGCTCAGACCCAGACACGCTTCTTACGTCTCGTCCATTTAGGAGAATGCACTCATTAGAATCGGGACCACGGTACGTACAACGGGTGGTCTGATGAGCCCACGTTCCCTAGGTCAATGTGTGTTCATAGGGCACCAAAAACCAACAGCAGAGCAGTGGGAGAGAGAGCTGTCATGACAAGATACAGCTTTAGCACAGCACAGAAACACAGTCATGCATATCTATTTGAATTAAAACCATACCATGCAACATTTGCATTTTGAAATCATTTTCTTGAGCCAATTTGCGCTAAAATGACCCTTTACAGGGTTAATGAAATGTCACTCAGACCTCCACCACCCTTTGTGGCCAGAAAACTGCACTTGCAACCTCAGAGTGCCAGTCCAGTCCCTGTTGGACTTAGTATAGTGAAGCTGACATACCTGGCGCAGGAGTCTGCTTCCAGCACATTTCCTGCATGTTTTAGATCATGAACACAGCTGAGTTGTTTGATTTTGTGAAAAAAGAAAGAAAGAAAGAAAGAAAGAAAGAAAGAAAGAAAGAAAGAAAGAAAGAAAGAAAGAAAGAAAGAAAGAAAGAAAGAAAGAAAGAAAGAAAGATTCAAGTTTATTTATGTAGCGCCAAATCACGACAAGAGTCGTCTCAAGGCACTTCACATAATAAACATTCCATTTCAGGACAGTTCATTAAGCCAATCAGAAATAATGTTTCCTATATAAGGAACCCAGCAAATTGCATCAAGTCACTGACTAGTGTCAGTGACTATACAGCAATCCTCATACTAAGCAAGCATAAAGCGACAGTGGAGAGGAAAACTCCCTTTTAACAGGAAGAAACCTCCAGAGAATCCTGGCTCAGTATAAGCAGCCATCCTCCACGACTCACTGGGGATGGAGAAGACAGAGCAGGCACACACACACACACGCACGCACGCACGCACACACACACACACACAGAAAGAAAGAAAGAAAGAAAGAAAGAAAGAAAGAAAGAAAGAAAGAAAGAAAGAAAGAAAGAGGGATATTTTATATACTGTCTGTCTCTCAAGATAAAAATCATGAGGAGCTCCACTAGAACAAAAATAAAAAATAAATTGTGAAGGAAAGGGAAAGAGAAATTAGCAGCAACATAAACCAAAGAGCCCTAAAATATGACAAGCAGTTGTTAAAACAACATAAATAAAGTTGGTATTAAGCAGAAATTTTGTGGAATAAAAAAAATGAAATAATTGGGAAGAAATCCTTATGGAAACAATTTCTTGAATGTTTTCTTTGTGATAATATGATCAAATGTGGAGAACATGTGCCGACATGCTTATCACATGTTTTTCACATGTGGTTTAAATGTTACCCAAAGAGCTCCACATGTCGCCATCCACAGGTTGCCATGTAAATGGTATGTCTGGGTAATGCTCAATTACCATGAAACTGATCCAAATTCACATGGGTGCAGAACACAGGTGGTCACGTGGGCAAAATGTTTTTCACATGTGGTTTTGCTCATGTGTTGTTTCTGTAAGCTTCTTGAAAGTTTTGATCTCCTTTCAATGAGCCCCTGTTCCATAAAACAGCAGAGGAGACACAATTACAGTCTTTGCATAAAGTTTTTAAAAAGCATTAAACCAACTTGAAACAGTTCAAAACAACTTGGTGGGTTTAATTTTTGGTTCGACCTCAGATTAAATGACATTTCTAATTTAGTTGAAATGACAGTGACATGTAAGGAAGCATCAAAGGTCAGCTACAGGAAATAGATACAGGCAACAGAATTTAAAAGGATGACTAAAACACACAAAACCAGATCTCCTGTTAGGATCATGAGCAACAATACAGATGATTCCTCCTGAAGTTCCTTTGGGAAAACTCACAAACACACACTCCTGGATGCTTCTGATTCATGTTCATGCTGAGAGTTAGAGACAGCAGAAATCAGTGTGTGTAAATCGCTGCAGTGATATCACCACACACACACTTGACCCTGTTCACTGTGTGTTTGCAGCTGTTGTTTGTGAGGTGCACATCATTTATAAAAGAGACTTTGCAAAGGTAACACACATTCAGTTACATTCAGACTGCAAAGTCATAACAACAATGTGATTTTGTAGTTTAAAGAGAGATTTGTAGAAATACAAGTAGAATTTTTATTGCACAGCCAGAAAATGAGCTCAGACGTTTTGGTTGTAGAAATGTACATTTTAGAGCAGTGAGCTGATTAATGTTGGTAATCATTTGTTCATTATGAACCCTGACAGTGTATAGCCACTTTAAAGATCTGTTTACTTTGAAAAACTACAACTTTTCCCCTTTTTGTTTCCTTTGTGGAACACACACACACACACACATACACACACACACACACACACACACGCACGCACGCACGCACGCACGCACACACACACACACACACACACACACACAAAACGTCCTTAGTGAGAACATCAGTGTCCAGCGTTTTGAACACCACAATTAACCATCTGGACTGAAGGTCCATAAGAATATTGAGGTGCGTCTGTGTGTGTGTGTGTGTGTGTGTGTGTGTGTGTGTGTGTGTGTGTGTGCGTGCGTGCGTGCGTGTGTGCGTGCGTGCGTGTGTGTGTGTGTGTGTGTGTGTGTGTGTGTGCGTGCGTAGGATGATCTATTGTCAGAAAAGACATTGTTTAGCATTTTCTCTGCCTTCAGGCTTCACACAGACAACACATTAACACTGATGAGATTAAACGCTCTCATCATGGTTATCATGCAGATGGGAGTAAAGTTTGACCTCAATTTAGCTGCTTTAACACTTATGGACAAAACTCAGAAGAGCTTTTCCTCTGAGAAGGTCACACAGAAGTCCTGTTTCTGGAAATTTTAACTTTTAACCTGTAGTGTGTGGACATGATCACATTGTGGGACATTTGGCTGGTCCACAAAATGGCAAAATACCCTAAGACATGTTTTAGAGATATGGTGTTAATTAACTTTTGTTTAGGTTAGGGTCAGGGCATGGGTTAGGCACAATACAGTCACAAAAATGAAATAAAAATGAATGGAAGTCAATGGAGGGTCACAAGCATATAAATACAAGTGTGCATGTGTGTGTGTGTGTGTGTGTGTGTGTGTGTGTGTGTGTGTGTGTGTGTGTGTGTGTGTGTTAAATTCAGCTCCTGCAGAGGGCAGTTTATTACTCTGTTACTCTCCATGTGTTTGTGCACACACACACACACACACACACACACACACACACACACACACACAATCAAATTACCTAAATAAGCTAAAGTGAGAATAATCAATGACGGAACCAGAGGTGTTTTGGCTCGTGGCCAAGTAGGAGAGGTAGTTACAAGCCAGATTCAACTGGAGCAAAATGCACAAAACCAGAATAAGACGATGTGATTATCCCGATGAGACAGAAGACTGTGAGAAAATATTCACTTTGATTATTTAAAAATAACCCTGTTAGGAAAAAAGGTCTCTGATCCCAAATATCCTCACCTTGGAACTTGTATCCCTCAATTTGCACCCAGAGACAGAGGTCCTCAGTGTCACAGTCGCACCTCCAGGGGTTCCCACTGAGGCCCAGAGAGCGCAGAACGGGCAGTGCAATCAAGCTGCTGATGTTCAGGATTGTCAGGTTGTTCCGACTCACATCAAGAACCTGCAGAGCAATGTTCTCCGAAAATGCGTCCGGGTGGATCTCCCCCAAGTTCGGATTATCCGTCAGCCGGAGCATCACCAGAGACGCCAGGGGCCCGAAAGTCCGGTCTTCGATCTGCAGCAGGGTGTTAAAAGACATGTCCAGGTAGGCGAGTTTCCGCAAGTTTCCGAAAGTGGACTCGGAGATTTCTGTTATTGAGTTGTTGCTACAGTCCAGGTAGACCAGGTCGGACAGGTAGTTGAGCTGCAGAGCCGGCAAGTCCCCGATGCGGTTGTTGGAGATGATGAGCTGCCGGGTGGCCAGGGGCAGGTCGATGGGGAACAGGGTGAGATCCTGCCCGGCGCACTGGACCACCAGCTGCTCGTCGCACACGCATCTGTCCGGGCAGCCGGCTGTGAGAGCCGGAGACGGAGCCACCCCCATCACGAAGATGAAGAAGACGATGAGCCGGAGGGACTGGGCACTGAGTTCGGGCAAAAAACGCATGACGAAGCGGCCCGGAGCGTCATGAACTCGGGCTGAGCTGGACCAGCACTCCCCGGCGCTTCCCGGACATCCTGCCTGGGCGTGCGGAGCTGGGACAGAAGGTGGGTGCTGCCTGCTCTGGGGGTCCCGCTGTCGCTGCCTCACAGCCGGGCTGCTTGTACCAGCCTCTCTCGAGAGGGAGACTGTCGGTCAGCCACTCACACGCACGCTGGCGCGCAGCGCACGTCGCCACGAGACATCATTTCAGAAGGTGACCGAGAGACGCGTGAAACTCAAGTAGCCCGCCGTACTTGATCCCACCTGAAGACCAAAACACACCTGGATGTTGGCTGACGCTCCTTCCGGTCTCATCTTTGAGCTGCATCAGCCGTCTCCAGCAGAGTGCATTTTTTTAGTTTCCAAACAATCACCAACACACAACGTTCCTCTCCACAATCCCGGACTCGTACAAACCTTCAGCAGAGGCTCACGTGTCCTCGTGATGGTGTGTTTCCGTGGGTCTGTTGTGTGTGGAGGTCCAGCTGGCTGAGGAGAGAGAGCGCGTCCTTCCCTCCACTCGGCTCTGACTGCCGCGCTGTAATGATGCTCCTCCGCGCGTCCCCTCTCTGCTGCAGGAGCTCACACTGACTGCAGCTTCAAAGTCCTGCTCTCAGGCGACATAGGTGATCTGGTTACGTCACCAGGTAATGCCCTCTTGAAAAAAAAGTGTGTATGTGTGCGTGCGTGTGTGTACTTGTGCGTGTGTGTGTGTGCGTGCGTGTGTGTGCGCGCGAGCGCGTGTGTGTGCGTGCATGCGTGTGTGAGTGTGTATGAGTGTGTGTGTGTGTGTGTGTGCGTGCGTGTGTGAGTGTGTGTGTGTGAGTGTGTATGAGTGTGTGTGTGTGTGTGTGTGTGTGTGTGTGTGTGTGTGTGTGTGCGTGTGTGTGTGTGTGTGTGTTCACTAGTGGTGTGCATCTCTACCTGCCTCACGATTCGATCCGATTCCGATTATCTGCCTAACGATTCGATTTGAGTCTGACATGCATCACGATTCTTCACACAAACATTTTCATTACTTAATAAAAGCAGTAGAATAGTTTTCAATTTCTTTTTGATTTCGAAATCCCTGAAAAACAGAACATTCACCTATTCACTATAGTGAGCAATAATTTTTAAGGTGTGCTGCCTATAATTACTTAAATAATATAAGAAATAATGTTTTCGGTAGAGCAGCTTCAAGATAGAATATTACTGAACTTAAAAATAGTAAACAAATACTGTGTTAAGTGATTCTTTCACATCCAGGATCCCAAAACCGAAATTAGCCCAAACATCCGATTTAAATGTAACGGGTACATCTTTGATTACTGGTAATGTTGGCCCTGTATCCCTGTCCGCCTTTCCTGTTTTAAATTGGCGCTAGGGCAACGCAGTGCGCATGTCAGTGCAACTCTGCCCCCAGAAGTAATACCTCAAAATTGTATTGTCCTCGCATGGACATAGACCAGGGGTCTGCAACCTGTTCCCATCAAAGAGCCATTATTACCCGTTTCCCCCAGTAAAGAAAACACTGGAAGCCACAGCAGCCGCGGCGTTGTGGGCGGGGCCTACCCTCAGACAGCAGCCAGTACCGGTCGCTCGTGTACGTCAAAGTTATCTTTCATAAGACGATAATCAATAAAATTATTTATATAAAGTGGATCCAGAAGTTGTAGCCCGTCTCTGCCTACAATATTTTGATATTTTTCACCCTGTTGGTGGTTTTACTGAGCAGGTGCCACTTTTGTCATACGTTTCTTTTTAAAACATGTTTAGACTGTTCAGAATACAAATCCAGGCTCTGTCACGTTTGATTGTTGTAATTAAACTTTGTAGGTGGGGAAGGTCAGAAAAGGATCCGATCATTTTGTTTTTCTCTCATTTACAGCGACGGAGATAACGGCGCAGTGCACCTGGCTCTGGTGTTAATCAAGTTAAATTACATCTCTTTGCAACAATTTTCACAAGAAAACAGAACAGTTAAAAGCTTGTGTTGACCGGACAGTTCCCGTATTTGGCCGTTGTGCACAGCGAGCTGAAGATGTGGAGAGGGGCTTGGAGCGCGTCGCAGAACCAGAGCGTATGCAGGAAGATTCCTCCGACTGAAGCGAGACTTGTCACTTAGAAAATGTTCCCTGATTATGAAACATTTGCTGAATAGCGCTTGTTCCTGTCTCCAATGTGGCATCACATCCAGGAGCCGTCTGAGGAGAATCCCAGAATCTCACATCCTTGTCAGCTCAGAAAGCGCCTATGATTACTCACAAGCGTGACGCGTCAACCCGGTCTCACAGTAAGACCGGGTTGGAACTGTTCAGGTTGACGCAGACAATCTTTACATTTAGAATTGGCATACAGGTGTAAAATTAATGCAGTAAAATATAAAGCATTTTATCTAAATATCCATTCATTATTTTACAAGCACAAAGAGCCGCATCAGATGGATGGAAGAGCCGCATGCGGCTCCAGAGCCGCGGGTTGCCGACCCCCGACATAGACATAGAGAGAAAATCTCATTATGTCACGTTGCTGCATCGATGCGGAATCATGCACGGCTGAATCGCGATGCATCTTAGAATCGATCATTTTTCCCACCTCTATTGTTCACGCGCACACAAAAACAGTAATTTTGCCTTAGCTTGGTCATTCACTGATGTATCAGACTTTTTCTCATGAGCCAATTAGCATCTTGGTTGGCTTTTATTTTGTTTCCCATTATTGTCACATTTAAATTGAGGAAGTCAATGACAACACATTCTCACAAAATGCATCACTTATTAATGTAGGGGAGACCCTGGATGGTTGTAATACTCTCCATGAGCTATGTTGGCTGATCTCATCAATACAGTTTATGCCCACTTGCAAACTGACCACACTTGCAAAGCCACATGTCTCTAAGTTGAAAACAGTTTATTCTGGAACAATAACACACATTTTCATCACACATATTTTTGCATAGTGTCAATTGTGTTATATACTATTGTTTGACTTACAGCTCAAGCAGTTTCTCTTCTTTGACTGGATGTCTAGCACAAGTGCTAGCTTTGAAGCTAAATGCTAAAAATGGTTAGCTTTTTAATGGCAATCTGGCATGGGGTGGGTTGTAACAGATCTGAAAAGGTGTCACAACCTTCTCCCTACCATGTTATCAGTTTTACACCATGCCTAGGCAGGGGACGCATGAAACAGCCAGTGGTGTCCCTGCAGAAGAAGAAAATGGCCATCAAAAGGCCAGAGACTGATGACACAAGAGATGCAGACTCGTCAGACGACGATGAAAATGTTTTCATTGCTTGGAGCACTTGCTCACAGCCAGAGTGGATCAGATGTCCGTGTTGTACATTTTGGGCTCATGAAGCCCATGAATTAAAGTGTTTCTGTACGTTTATTAGTGAGTACGGTATCTTTTTAAGCAATTTAGTTGCATTTTAAGCAAGTTAATAACTTAACTATTACATCCATCCCCAAGCAGTGTTACAACTCCCCCGGTGCTGGGGTGGGTTGTAACAACATACCTCTTTGTATTTTACAGTAATTGAAATAATCTCTGGTAATGTGGTAGAAGACCAAATGATGTAATCTGTAGCAGACAAATATTGTACATGTTAAAATTTGAGCTCTCTACCACACAGAACTACTGAGTTACATTGCTCAAACAAAAGGTGTTACAAACAGTCCCAGTCTCTCCTTTTTATTCATTTATTTCATTCATCCATCAGTTTCTTATAACTATTATTTATCCAAGGTTTGACCTATTTCACCCTCCAAAGTGTTCCCAGGCCGGAGCTGATAATCCCACCAGTACACCTTGGTTCTATTACCAGTGGAATATATTTTAATGGTGACTAGGATGCATCTTAATCAGTTGCCCAAATCCTTTTGATGTGGAGGAGCAGCGTCTCGCCCCATGAAGGACCCCATCACCATGTCTTTAAGGCTGAGCCTGGCCGTCCTACAAAAGAAATAAACCCACCTTCTTGCAGGAATGTGTACGGAAGTTTTTAAAGGTGGGTCCACTGCAGTGGCAGATCCAGGATGGATCCATGAAGGGACCACAATATTTAAAGAGAGACCAAGTATATTAGTCCAAGATTCTTTCAAAGATTTCAAGCTGGAAATTCCTATTTGGTTCATTAGTGTCACCAGTGGTTGGACCTGGGACTGCACCCACGGCAGTGTCCCTGTGGCCCCGCCCCTTGAACCCCCAATAGTTTTAAAAGTTTTCCTGTCAAATGAAAATTATATGAAAAGACCTTTTTGGTTTTACATTTCAGATACTCAAACATGAAAATTTTTTGTATTTCCATTCATAAAAATATATTTTTAAAATGTACATAAAAACATAGCGTGTGGTTTTGGACTGTGGATTGTTTCTGTCTTGGTTTATTTAATGTCATTTAGTCATAAGTTCTGTCACCTTTCCAACTGGTGTTCTTGTGTGTTCCCTTAGGTCAGTGTTCTTATCCTTGTGTTTTGGTTTCCCTTATGCTTCCATTTAGGTATATTTTTCACCTTCCCACTCCCCAACCAGAGATCATACACACCTGTTTTTCATTAGTACAATGTAAAAAAACGTCAGTAAAATATACAGTAAAACAGTGTGTGTGTGTGTGTGTGTGTGTGTGTGTGTGTGTGTGTGTGTGTGTGTGTGATTTGTTTTAAGGACATCGGAGCAAAGAAGCGTTTTTATTAAGCTTAGAGGTGAAGAGTGAAGCTGTTTACACACAACTTAAGCTTAGAGGTGAAGAGTGAAGCTGTTTACACACAACTTAAGCTTAGAGGTGAAGAGTGAAGCTGTTTACACACAACCACAGAAGTTCTTCTGTGAAAAGTAGTTTTACATTCAGGGATTTACACAGCTGACATGTTTTAATAAAGTAAAAATTGTTTGTGTGAAGAATATAATTTTGATCTTTTCATGTGGATAAATGTAAAAATGTGTTTATTGCCTTTTTGTCACCTGTGGTCTGATTTTCTCTGTAGGACTGCAGGTGTCCTGGGTCAGGAGAGGCTTTACCTGTTGGTCATCCTGGGAGAGAGGCCAGGATGGCCTCCCAATCTCTTAGAATGTATTCAACCAGTGATTTATATACAATTGTTAGGATGTCCTTGTTCACAATGAGTGCTCTTAGCTTCCTTAACAGGTGGAGTCTTTGCAGCGCTTTCTTGTAGACACCGTTGCTGTGATTTGCAAAGGACAGGTGGTCATCAGTTTCTGTTCCCAGATACCTGAATGACTGAACCTGCTCCACAGGCTGACCTGGTATGCTGAGGGGTTTGAACAGGGACGTGTCTGCCTCACTGACTGCCCCACAGCACATTTCTTTAGTTATTGAGATATTCAGCCCCAGGTGAAAGTCTCCAAATGTCTGGACCAGATTGCTGGCCGCCCGCTGATATTTAGACAGGTCCTCTGATGTCTTCACTGATGCCACCAGTGCCATGTCGTCTGCATACTTATACAGGGCTATTCTCTCACTATGGCAAAGGATGTTGTTTGTGTAGACTGAGAAAAGCACTGGAGACAAAACACAGCCTTGTAGCAGTCCAATGCTAATGACACTTTTCGTGGATTTAAATCCTCTTAAAAATACTTGTTG